TCTGCCCTTCCCCCTGCTCACACGTTGTCTCTCTCTAAAATAAATAAATACATCTTTAAAAATTGCCATTATAATCTAAAAATCTTGAATGTGTATTACATTTTCATGATACCAAATTTAAAAGGTACAAAAGGATATATAGTAAAAAAAGCTTCTCTCCCACCCTAACCTCAGCCACTTAGTTCCTTCCCTAGAGCAACCAGTGTTGTCTTTTGAATCCTTCCAGAGACAGTAGAAGCATTTGTGTACATATATGTATACATACCCATACACATATTCTTTGTCATTGTTTTTATTATTTTTATGTGAATGGAAGCATATTATATACAATTTTTATTTTTTCTACTTATCAATTTCTTTTGGAGGTAATTCCACATCAATATATAGAGATCTGCTTCCTTAAAAAAAAAATAGCTATGCAACATTCCACTGGGTAGATGTACCACAATTTCTCTGATGAGTCTTCTATTACTACACTGGCTGTTTACCCTATTACAGTGCTGCAATACGCAACTTTTTATGTATGTCATTTCACGTGTGTGCACAAACTTTAGGATACATTACTAGCAGTGGAAGCAGGCATATGCATTCGTAATTCTGATAAATATGGACAAACATTGGGGCACCTGGGTGGCTCAGTTGGTTAAGTGTCTGCTTTCAGCTCAGGTCGTGACCCTGGAGCCCTAGGATGGAGTCCTGCGTTGGGCTCTCTGCTCAGCGGGGAGTCTGCTTCTCCCTCTGCCTGCCGCTCCCCCTGCTTGTGGTCTCTCTCCCTCTCTCTCTCTCAAATAAATAAATAAAATCTTTAAAAAATATATGGACAAATATTCCTTCAAAGAGGTGCATCAATCTACACCCCCACCAGTGAGATACACAAATGCTCTCAAGTTTCCCTACGTCTTAATCATGGTGTTGTCAAGCTTCAATTTTTGCCTATTTGATAGATTGAAAAAAAATTGGCATCTCAATATATTCTTTGCATTTCTCTAATCATGAGTGTGACTTCCTATGTTTAAGAGTCACATGTGTTTCTTCTTTGAACTGTTTACAGTCCTTGCCCGTTTTTCTATTAGGTGGTTAGTCTTTTATTTATAGATCTATAGGCACTTTCTGTTAGGAAAATAAACTTTTTACAAGTGATACAAATGATAGAGCTTTTTTCCTAGTTGTATTTGTTTTGTGCTTATGGTTTTACCATGCCAATAATTTTTTAAAAGATTTGAGTGTGTGCTCACGCGCACGCGCGCGCACACACACACGTCGGGGAGGGGCAGAGGGAGAAGCCGACTCCCCACTGAGCAGGGAGCCTGACGCAGGGCTCAATCCCAGGACCCTGAGATCATGACCTGGGCCAAAATCAGATGTTTAACTGATTGAGCCACCCAGGTGCCCCTATTCCGTATTTTAAATTGAATCTTGATCTATCTGGACATTAATCCTAGCGTACCATCTGAGCACTGGCTCCATCTTAACTTTTTCCAGATGGCTTCCCAGTTGTCCCTACACCATTTTATTGTAGAAGTCATCTTTCACTTAAAATGCCACCTTCATCATATTTGAGTCCTTTTTTATACTTTTTATACAAGTCCCCCAAGCCACACTGCTTTATTTATTATGGCTTTAGGGAATAATTTAATATCTGGGAGAACTGTTCTCCTCTTTCCCTTTTCTTTCTCCTAGAATTTTTCCTTCTTTTTCCATATGGCTGTCTGTCCCCACCCCCCAAATTGTCATGTTTTCATTGAGAATGCATTAAAATTATAGATCAATGAAGGGAGAAGAGATATCTTTATGATGTTGAATTTTCCTACCCAAGAATATGACAGAGATTGACATTTTTTATCTCCTTATATAGATCTTGCACATTTCTTTTTCTTTGTACCTATCTATCTACTTAAAGTAGATTTCATGCCCAGCCTGGAGCCCAACACTGGGCTTGAACTCACGACCCTGAGATGAAGACCTGAGCTGAGATCAAGAGTTGGATGCTTAACTGGCTGAGCCACCCAGGAGCCCCCACTTTTTAAAAAAAAATTTTTTTAAGTATACATTTCTTGTTGAGTTTATTCCTAATGAGTTTATTTTTTGAGGTTGCTGTTGAGATCTGTACTTCCACTATATCTTCTAGCTCATTTATTTACATCTCATGATTTCAAACTATTCTCAAACCAAGGGCTCAGCTAGGAAGGAAGCAAATCATTCACCTGAAAAAAACGTAGATGACATAGTTCATTGATTACTTATAAACGCTGGCCTGGAATGGAGGGGGAAAAAAGACAAGGAAAAAGGAGCTTTGGTTTTGTGTTTTATAGTGTAAAATTACCCAGTATTAAAAAGGATTAATAATTCCGGGGCACCATAAAAATAGAGGCAGTCTTGTTTCCATGGATCAAAAATTGACACACACACTAGTATGTTAGTTAGATTAGAGCCTAACGAACTAGCAGTCCAACTGGAGAGCCAATCCATTGTGTTGGATGAACAAATGAAAATAAAAAATGAATGAAACCTAATGCTATCTCCTTGCTTTCATGATTACTTTAACTTTTCATGATTATCTCTTAGACTTAAGTAACCAGAGAGTATGATAGAGAAGAATACACAAATCTAACAAAAACAAAAAACTTCTCCAGAAACTTAAAAGACAGGTAATGTTAACCTAAAGTAAAACTAGCAAGGGGCTCCTGGGTGGCTCAGTCGGTTGAGCATCAGACTCTTGATTTCTGCTCAGGTCATGATCTCAGGGCCGTGAGAGTGCTGCCTCCTCCCAGCATGGAACCTGCTTAAGATTCTCTCCCTCCCTTTGCTCCACACACCGACCCCCCCCCTTGACACGGCCTCTCATCCACAGTCACCCTTCCCCACACACATTATCATCTCAAATAAGAATAAAAACAAGTTGGGGCGCCTGGGTGGCTCAGTCAGTTAAGCATCTGCCTTCATCTCAGGTCATGATCCCAGGGTCCTGGGATCAAGCCCTGAATCAGGCTCCCCACTCAGCAGGAAGCCTGCTTCTCCCTCTCCCTCTGCCTGCCACTCCCCCCCTGCTTGTGCTGTCAAATAAATAAATAAAATCTTAAAAAAAAAAAAGAATATAATTGGACAACATATCATGATTAGTGAGGAGTTACTGATGGAAATATTTCACGTCCTCCCGTCCTCCTTTTTTTAAAATCAATTTAAAAGACCCAATCATTTAAGAATCAAAAGTGTTCAACAATGTTTGTTGCAAAACCCAGCAGATTTCCAGCCCCATGGCAAATATTTTCATCTCATTTGCCTGGTTATTTAGAAATCTATCTCCATGTCTTTATTTTTTTTTAAAGATTTTATTTATTTGAGAGAGAGAGCTAGAGAGAGAAAGAGCACACACAGAGGGTGAGGGAGAGGGATAAGCCAACTCCACGCTGAGCTGGGAGACCGACGCAGGGCTGGATCCCGGGGCTCGATCCCAGGACCCGGGGATCATGACCTGAGCCAAAGGCAGACGCTTAACTGACTGAGCCACCCAGGCACCCCCTCCATGTCTTTAAATAACCTGTGCAGTGGCAATTCTAGATTTCTCAGTTTCAGGCATTCTCTACTGACTTCCCATGAGAAGAGATGAAGGTTTAGTTTTCTTCCCTCCAGCCCCCCCAACTGAGTTAAACTCTCATTTTGGTTAGTCAATCAATATTCGGTGTTCACATATTTATGACTATGCAAATCCTATTCCTTTCTCCCTTTTCCTTACTTTTTAATTCTCTGGATTTAATAATTATTTGCTTGCTTAGTTTTCTATTTACTGGTACCATTTCAACAAACACCTTGCATTGCAATTCCTCATAATTTGCTGTTTAAAGGTGTAAGATTTATTCAAAATCTTGTTCGCTGCAGTATTATTTCTAACAGTGAAAAAGTAAAAGTCCATCAAATATTCACCAACAGGGAACTGGTTAAATCCATTAGTTTTTCCACATCATGAAAATTTTATGCAGATCTTAAAATAAGGTTGATTAGCAAATGTACATGTCCCAAACCCAGCCTTTAATTTTATGTCATTATGTATACCTTTAACTCTTTAATATTTCACAATGAGCATGCATTTTTATAATTGGAAAAAAATTAAAGCAATCAGAAAAAAGTAATATGAATTATATTTTGTTTGTAGTTATTCATATGACCAATCAGATGTAAAAAAAAATTTTTTTTTCATTTTATTTAGTTGCTTGAAGAAACTCTGAATTTTTTTTTTCAGGTACACAAGTTGGCTTTTGGCCAATCATCTCTGAGATGTGTAAAGAGATTCGACTTTGGAAGAAAAAAAAATAGAATTTTCATACTTCTAAAGGAAAATGTTTTCAGAAAATGAGCAGAAAGGGAATGATTGTAAAGGAAGCACTCACTCATCCTGAACCAAATACTAAATTAAAGACAGCAAAATGCTTCCTTTTCATCCTGGACAACTGCAAGGTGGAGCAGCATCTAATCCTACAAGCCAGGGAGGTGGGACTGGGACCCCAGCACATTCTGGGTAGGTCGCTTAACCAATCAGCGCCTCGGCTTCCACGTGTCAGGTCTGCATAAAAATGCATGCCTTTACCGGTGGTCCCTGCTGCGATGCGCAACTGCAGCGACACGCTGGGTTAATTACTAAGAAGAGCGCTCGGCCGGCCTTCGTGACTCAGTTTCGTGACCACCCAACCATCAGGCCAGGCCCACGGAAATGACCGGGAGCCGGAGACAGGCCCTCCCCAAGCTTCTGTAGGGCATGCTGACAGCAGTGGCTAACATTCTTGGGGCCGTGGACTGCTTGGAGAAGTCGAACGAAACAAGAGTCACTTCCTGGGACATTAAACATGCAGGCCAATGCGCCTGTGTACACAACTTCCGTGGGCTCACGAACCCTTAAGACACAACCTGGGTTTACCCCGGCCGGGACCGCTCGCCCTCTCCCCTCCACCCCCAGACACCCCCGCTCAGTCCCGGTGGGCCTCTAGGCCCCGACGGAAACCACGCACCGAAACCAGCGGGACGCGCAGGTGATCCCCCTGCAGCCGGTTGAAGGCGGGGAACGTGCTCCAGGCCAGGAACCCGCCGCGCTCCGGTCCCAGTAAGGCCACGAGCAGCACCTGGTGCTGGAAGCGCACGGTCGGCTGCTCCTCGTAACTGCTCCGCTTCAGCCAAAACCCTGAGGTAGAGAGGGCGGTGGGGAGGAAGTCAGGAAGGCGAGCACGGGCACGGCGGGCCTTGGGGAGCTGTGCGCGCAGCGGTCGCGAGCAGGCTCACCGTGGCTCCGGAAGGCCACCAGCAGCGGCGGGATGTACGTGAGCGCGGCGGCCAGCAGCAGGAACAGAGCGGCCTTGGAGCAGAGCCCTGCGCGGTAGCCGCGCTCCACCGGGTGAGAGAAGAGCTCGTAAAGCGCCATGAACGCCGCGCGGATTCCGGCCGCTTTCTCGGGACCCCTACGCGGTTCGAGAGGAAGGAGCAAGTTTGGCTTCTCCTGGTTGCCATAGCCTTGGTCTCCATGGCAACCGACGGTGCAGGGAAAGGAACCAATAGCAAGGACGCAGGGCCTGGGCAGGGGTGGGGCCAAGCGGGGGCCGAGCCCGCTGGTGGGCGTTCGTCCTCGCTTTACGCCTTACGTGAGTTTTCCAAAGGCTGAATGGAAATAGGATGTTTCCGTACCCAGAATCGTAGACTTTTCCTCTGTTAACGTTAATGTAAAATAAGGGGCGCCTGGGTGGCTCAGTCGTTAAGCGTCTGTCTTCGGCTCAGGTCATGATCCCAGCGTCCTGGGATCAAGTCCCCCATTGGCTCCCTGCTCGGCGGGAAGCCTGCTTCTCCCTCTCCCACTTCCCCTGCTTGTGTTCCCTCTCTCGCTGTGTCTGTCTCTGTCAAATAAAACCTTAAAAAAAAATTACGTAAAATACGATTTTCATTAAAAATGACTTAAAGTCCTTACCTGCTTATGTCATCTGTTAATCCGCAAGGTGGTACATACTTAAATCCAACCAGTCACAGCCTAACCTCCATTGCAGGAAAACCCAAAACAGAAGTGTGGCTGTGCTCCTGCACCTGGCCCCGGCTAAGACCAAACCCCGGTCCCTTTGCCTCCAAATTTCCTGTTGCTTTCACTAACTGCCATAGCAGGACAGACACAGAAACAGGGCACAAATACCCCAGCTCTTCGAGGAATAAAGGATAATTACTACATGGCTCTCTGTGCTATATTTCATCACCTTATACTGGATACAAACTTGGCTGCTGGTTTTAGAGGCTGTGCCCCCCCCCAAATGACTGTGGTTTATCAATCGAATGCTTCCATCACCACCATCGCCACCACCTCCAACCAGTATTTTCTTGGTTTTTTTTTTTTAAAGATTTTATTTATTTATTTGACAGAGACACAGCGAGAGAGGGAACACAAGCAGGGGGAGTGGGAGAGGAAGCAGGCTTCCCTCGGAGCAGGGAGCCCGACGCGAGGCTCGATCTCAGGACCCTGGGATCATGACCTGAGCTGAAGGCAGACGTTTAACGACTAAGCCACCCAGGCCCCCCTCCAACCAGTATTTTGAACATGGCAGAAGGGATTTTTTTTTTTTTTTTTAAACCATGGTCAACAGCCAGGTTCTTTATCAGAAGGCCCGGAAGGATCACACTGCAGTCCCAAACGATAGTGTGAGGTTTGTGATCAGAGTGGAATAGATGCCTCTATTTTGAAGGCACCTAGAAACGGCTTTTAGGTGAAGAGTACAGCCGAGATACTAACAACACAGACGCCTGAGGGGTCAAGACCTGACCATTTGGGAAAATTATCCAGGGTCCTTACCACAGTTCAAGATAACAATAGGGGCGCCTGGGTGCCTCAGTCGTTAAGTCTACCTTTGGCTGGGGTCATGATCCCGGGGTCCTGGGATAGAGCCCCGCATGGAGCCCCGCATTGGGCTCCCTGCTCCGCGGGAAGCCTGCTTCTCCCTCTTCCCACTCCCCTGCTTGTGTTCCCTCTCTTGCTGTGTCTCTCTCTGTCAAATAAATAATAGAATCTTAAAAAAAAAGATAATATCAGCCATAAGATTTTGTCATATCAGGTCCAGTATTACTCATTCTTGCTTTAAAGCTTTTCTGGGTGGAAACACAGCTCTTAAACACAGCAATTGTTAGGCTTAAATCTATATTATGATTCTGACATTATACTGTATGATTTAAGTGAATGACTTTCATTTATTGAACAACTATTAAAACCATATGATTTCACTCATATGAAACTTAAGAAAACAAATGAACAAAGGGAAAAAAGAGACAAACCAGAAAAAGACTATATATTACTACATAGAACATATATAGAACAAACAGAATGGTTACCAGAGGGCAGGTGGGTGGGGTGATGCGTGAAATAGGTGAAGGGGATTAAGAGTGCACTTTTCTTGATCAGCACTGAGTAATATATGGAAGTGTTGAATCACTATATTGTACACCTGAAACTAATATAACACTATGTTAACTACACTGAAATAAAAATAAACAAATAACCATTAAAATAAGATTCTGGAATAGATGGTTCTAGTGTCACCTCCTGAGGGTAGCTCTATACTGAGGAAGGAGGTGTTTGCCTTCAAAGTTCCTTCTTTCAGCAGAAGGAAACACCTACTGTAGCTAGTATCAGCTTAGTCACTGCTGAGACACAGGGTGGTGACTGCTAAGATTTTAGGTGTGTGAAGTGCTTCTCCTGAGATGCCATGAGCTTTGCAAAAGTATTTAGTAATAATGGATACTAATATTTACTCTTTGCTTCCACGGTTTAAAGAAACTAGTCTTTGTGGTTTTGATTCTTTAAGAGGGAATATTAGTTTTTAAAAATGCTAAAGGTCTGTGTGTATTGTGTCATTTCATATATTTCATAACTGAGAACTGACTTCTCAGTTTCCATTTCCGTAATTTTCTCATGTTTCATACAATTTACTTTTTAAAAAGATTTATTTATTTTAGAGAGAAAAAGAGAGAGCCTGTGAGCATGGGGAGAGGCAGAGAGAGAGAGGCCGACTACCTGCTGGGTGCAGAGCCTGACCCCACGACGCTGAGATCATGACGAACTGAAACCCAGTGAGACACTTAACCAACTAAGCCACCAGGCACCCCTTGATACAATTTACTTTTAAGGACAAAGAGAGTTGTTCTCTTAAAACTACACATTTTGATCATGTTCTACTCCTCTCTAGAAGCTCCTGTTCAGGGATATCTTGAATCCGTTTAGAATGCCTGAATGTATGCATCAAAGCTTTCCAGCATTTATCTATATTACTTCCCAGTTCCCTCTTCCAACCCCAGCCTTTGTTTCTATCTATTAAGGAAAGTTTATCCTTTGGAAAATGTACCCTTCTCTCTGAAGCGTAAGATTCTCTGTGAAGTCTTTCCTGATAAACCGCATTTGGTTTGGTGTCAGCCCCCATTGCCCTAACCATCCCTCAGCATTCATGTTCACAGACCTCTCCAACATTTGAAATTTATTCTGCATGTTTTATAAGTCTGTTAATATGTAATTTCATACTTTCATTATCCTATTTTTTTCTTCTGACTCACCTTTTCAACTAGCCACCCCCTTAAGGAAGTCATTAGGTATCTTTAGAACCTTTAATAAGCTAAATATAATGACCCCACAGGTAAAGAAGATGATGCATATCATCAGGACAGATCGGAGAAGCCAATTAGAATGGTGAACTGGAAAAAGACATCAAGAAAGTAGGTAAAGATAGAAGACAGAAAGACACTGCACCGTATTGAGACCATCAGGTTACATGCTTGTAAGTGGGTGACTGATGGGATCTTTTCCCTGAGAAGTATACTAAGGTCTTCCAGGTGCAAGGTGGTGTACACATGCCTTGGAGTAGGATACAATGACCAGTTCTGTAAAAGGAAGCAGGGGTCTTCAGTCCAATTTCAAACTCTTCCACTGATTCACTGACTGTCCAATGGTGAACATCCACCTTGATTCCTCAGTGTTTAACTCTATTTGCAAAAAGGTATTTTCAATTTTTTCATTCACTCTCTAGCTGATCTCATCCAGTTCAACAGCTTTAAATACTTCTCTCTTGAATTTGAGGCTCCTAGATCTATTCACTTACTCCGTATCTTTATTTGGATGTGTCTCTTGGGCATCTCAGACTCAATATAGCCAAAACCAAACCTTGATTCTCACCCCTCAAGCTGGCTCCACCCTATTTCAGTAAATGGCAATTCCATCCTTCCAAAAACCCTGACTTTGACTTGTCCCTCACACTTCATACCCAATCTATCATCAAGTTTTGTTGGCTCTACCTTCAAAATATATCTAGAATACAACTGCTTCCCACAACCCCCATAGACACTATCTTGGTCTAGGCCAACATCATCTTTCATCCAGATTATCACAACAGTTTCTTAACTGTTCCCCTGGCTTCCATTCTCAACCCCTTATAGTCTGCCTACAAAGAGGCTAGCCTGCTCACTTCAAAAGGAAAGCCATACCATGTCACACCTCTGCTTAAAATCCTCCACCAACTTCTCATGTCATTCTAAATAAGATCCAAAGTTCTTCACATGGAATTCAAAGCTCAATAGTTTTGTTATCCATCTCTTTGATCTCATCTTCTAACACACTCCCTCTTTTTTATTCAACTCCAGCCACAAGGGGTTCCTTCCTGTGTCGATGTTCCTTTCTGTCCCTATGTCAACCACTTTACCTAATTAGCATTCTATCCCACCATCACTCGTCACCTAGCCTGCTTTGTTTTCTAAAGAGCACCTACCATTACCTGACATATTTATTTTTCATCTTCTCCCACTAGAATGCAAACCCCATGACAGAAACGGTTTTTAGGTGAAGTTCACTGTTCTGTTCACTGCTTTTCCCCAATACCTAGAACAGTGCTCCTGTATGCAGCAGTAATAATTTCTAGGTATGAAATTCAAGGGATTTTTCACTACATTAAAAACAAGCAAGCAAACAAAAACCTATTTTGGTTGCTCAATCTTAAAATAACCAAAATACTTCTAGAATGAAGCTAGATTCCACAGCATCCATCAGGAATTACAACTGTAGGAAATGATGAATGACAATGTTCAAACATGCAAGCCTTTCAGATGCATCAGAATCACAAGCACATGGCAAGGATCATGTGCCCAATTAAATGAATATTCTTGATACGTATTCACCAGCTCATAAACAGATGTTGACCCAGAGCAGACTGTCCTGATGACTCTGCTAGGAAGAAAGGCGTGACATCACTGGAGAACCTCAAGGCATATGCTCAGGCAGGTGACATACGCGCACACACAGCCTAGGCTGTGATTGCTGAACTCCATGCTGACTGCCAAAGAAACCTGTCTTGTTACCAACTCTCAGGTGAATTTTCCCAGCCTGACAATCACCTCTAACTCCTCTGCAGTTAAGGTTAAGGGGTCTCTTTGTGATCAGTGCGATGTTACGCTCCTCAAATGCATATTTGTGATACCTTTTCTTATATGTTTAGTCAAACACTTATTCATGAAAAATGGAAGGGAAATAGAATTTGTTTAAATTCAATTTCTAGGTCCAAGGCAACCTATATGGCTGTCTCCAATACTGAACCCCCGCTTGTCATCAGTACCTCTCCCCACACAGTCCCCTCAAACTAGTCACACCCTCTGTGTTGCGCCAACCTGTTACCAGCCCGACACAATACTCCCCAAACTGTCAACGCCCTAAACAGATTACCCCCCGCCATCACCAACCACCAGAGACCCCTCTTCTGTCATTCATACCTCCAAAAGTCCCCTCGTCACCGAGACCCCACTCCTGTTACCAGCTCCCGACAGCATCCCCTTCCCAGTCACCAAAACCCCTCAAAGACAGCCCTGTACTGAACGTCATCATCCCCACTTCCCCTCCGTAGCCCCTCGCGGCGCCGTCTCCTGCCCCGCCCCCTGGCGCTGCGCCCCGGCGAACGGCGCCGGAAGCCCCGCCCCCGGCCGGTTGCTAGGCTCCGGCAGCCGGAAGTCCCGCCTGCCGTGTAGTCGCCGCCGCCGCCGCTGCTGCCGTCGTTGTTGTTGTGGTTGGTTCGCTGAGCTCCGCGGCTCCGAGAGCCGGCTGCATCCCTTCCCCGCCGCCGCCATGAAGTGGATGTTCAAGGAGGACCACTCGTTGGGTAAGGGATCCGTCAGAGGCCGGGTGGTGGGGGTCGGGGCGGCGGGTGGGCCCCCTCCCCCACCCGGGCCGCCCTAGGCTGGGCCGGGCGGGGCGGATGCCGCGCTCAGGCCTTGGGTCGCTGAGGCCCCGGAGCCCCGGGCGGCTGCCCACGGACCCTGTGCCGCCCTTCGCCCTTCTGCCGGGAGGCAGGGGTCGAGGACCGAGGCCGCTGAGACGCCGGAACAAGGGCCCGGGGCTTGCGCAGGTCGCCGGGGGAGGTGGGCTGGAGTCCCCGGAACCGGGGGCCAGGCAGGCACGACCGTCAGCCGGGTCTGTGTCTCCCACAGAACACAGATGCGTGGAATCCGCGAAGATCCGAGCGAAATATCCCGATCGGGTTCCGGTGAGTGCACTCCCCGCCCCCTCACCTCGCTGTCACCCCGTCGTCTAGGACTCGTGATAGGGCCTCGAGCCATTCAACAGTTGACAAGTCGAGGTTCCAGTCCCAGTTATAGTGGCAAACAGGCCAGACTGGGTTAGGGGCCTTCCGGGGCCGTGGCGTGAGGGGCTTGAGCCGGTGCTGTTCGGGGTGCCTCAGTGCTGAATCTCCCGATCTAGGCCAGCGAGCTGTCTGCAGCCTCTGGGCTCCCTCGCCAATTATGTAAGGAAAGATGTTCTAGGACAGGGCAACAGGTCACTGCCACTTTTGGCAACAGCGGTGGAGGGAGACTGTCACTTTGGTCTTAGAAGTGGTACTTTAGTCTCAGGACACTCATCTTTGAGTCTCTATCTTTACTTGACTTCTAGCTCCCTTTCCTCACCCTGACCCTGTCATCCTTTCCTGACCAAAAAAATCTGAGAAGCCTCTGAGAACCTCTTTTCTTGTGGTTTCTCTTTAATCAGTAATAAATATGATCTTACCATTTCTTTCACGGTAGGGGATAAAGTTTCTATAATCCTTACTGATTTTTAAAGGACATCCATGCCTGTCATTGTAGCTCTTTGAACAATTCCTTTGAGGAGGGGTCAGGAGGGACATATTTGAAACCTAGTTCAGGGAGAAGCAACAGGCCAAATGAGCTTGGTTCTTGGCTGGCTGGGATTGCCACTCATTCCTATTAGTCCATCGTTTCCTGTGTTTCTTGGGATCTTATTTCCCCTGTAGTGTGAAGGCAGATCCATTCTGGGGTCCTGGAGTAATTGGCTGTAGATGAAACCCTCACCAGATATTCTCAGGTCTACCCAGACAAAATGTTGAAAAGCTTTGTAGTAAGAGCTGTGTTTCTCTTATGCTTGCTGAGATCCAGGATGATAAACGTAACCACAGGAAAGTACTTTCTGTTTCTGTATCATACATTTATGTCAGTTCTTAACCTCCAGAGTTAAGAGTTTGTGGTTTATTAAATCAGGGGCATATTTTCCAGTGTTGTGCAGTTTCCCACCCACCTCCTTGCCCACATACTATTCATCAGCTCCCTGACAGTGCAAGGCTAGAACAATGCAAGGCCAGAGCCTCATGTTAGAAATCCAGTCTTGATCTCTCTTTGCTTTCCTAGGTGATTGTGGAAAAAGTCTCAGGCTCTCAGATTGTTGACATTGACAAACGGAAGTATCTGGTTCCATCTGACATCACTGTGGCTCAGTTCATGTGGATCATCAGGAAAAGGATCCAGCTTCCTTCTGAAAAGGCAATCTTCCTGTTTGTGGATAAGACAGTCCCACAGTCCAGGTGAGAGGTGTTTACTGGCATTGGCCATCTGCTCAGCTGTTTACAGAACTCTAAATTTTGGAGGTTAGAAAACTCTTTAGTGGTCCTAACTGGAAATCTGGATTTTGTGCTCCCTGACATGAGGAGCTCAAGGAAAATAAGAAAGGGCTGTAGTACATGGGAATGTACTTTGGATCAAGAAGATAGAACAAGGTTGGACTTAAAAAAAAAAAATAATGAAATCTAGCCTCAGACCCTCATAAATCCTTTAAAACAGCTGAGGATTTACTTAGGTTTAAGCCATCAGTAGAACTGAAGCTTAAAATGAGGTTTTCTTCAAATGACCCATGAAATAAGTCCTGTCATTCTCTACTGGGAGCTTGTGGGCCCTGCTGAGGCTCAGGTTCAGTTAATCACCCTGCTGCTTGCTCTCCAAACTTAGTTCTGTGCCACTGTGCATGTCTGTAGCTGCCTGATCCTCAGGTATGCTGAAATGGCTGCTGTCCAGCAAAAGGCTTTGAGGTCTCTTTACAGACTTACTCCTCCCTGGTACCACCTGCTCCGACTGTCAGAGTAATTGCCCCCGTTGCTCTAGCTGTTGTGCTGCCTGGAAGCATTCTTTGGGATACCTTGGGGCCTGAATCTCAAGGCAGGGGCATTACAGTTCCCTTCTTCTGTGTATTTGACAGCCCAGCTTTAGTCCCCTGTGGAAAAAAAATGAACTGGCTCCTTCTAAATTCCTGGTCAGTCCTTTGCCATGACTGGTTAAGTACTAGCCCCTGAGCCAGATGCTAGTCTCTCTCTCCCCTAAATGTGAGTTCCTGGCTACATTTCATCTTGGAGACCCAAACTAAGTCTCATTTGTTACCCCCCAAAAGTAGTACTTCTAAAACAAGGCTTTCAGAAATCCTGGGAACTAGCCCATTGTGGCCAAAATATGTTTCTTTTGAAAATCCTTGAAAGTTCCAGAAAAGGTGTAAGCCAAATTCCAGTCCTTTTCCTTTGAAAGGTAGAGAGCTCTGGCTATTTTTTGGTCTGATTTTTGCTTTCCCAGTCTCCATCACCTCCGTTTCCTGTGTTTGGCAGAGAAGCAGGTTAGGGGAGAAATGAAAAGTTCTGCCTGAGGAGATAGGCCTGGGCCTGGCTGCTGGGTGCTGTTGGTCTCCTACAGCTATAGTTCAAGAAGCCGGGGTGTTGGCAGAGGCAGTCTTGCTGCCTGTTGGGGCTCTTCCAGCTTTCCTTCCCAGGCCTCTAGGCATCATGGTGCTGGGTGCACTTTTCATTGGGGTAGGAAGTCCTGGGCGTCTGTGGTCACACTCAGCTTCTCTTAAGGTGGTGGGGAGTTAAATCTTCACTCATTCCACCTGCAGCTTCTGCAGAGTCTTGGTGACCCTGTCCTCCTTCCTGGAGGTGGCTTCTTAGTGGAGGAAGTAGGCGACCAGGACCTGTGGCATTGAAATTATTTTATCAATTCTGAGCCTCTGATATTTCTTAAAGGAAATGAGCAGGCTTCTGGAGACATTGTTACTCTGATGGCTCCATGTTAATCTAGCAATTAAAATGGCTGTAGATTAGCAACTGCCCCCTCCCTCCATTATCCCTGAGATATAAATAGAATTGGAAATGAAAAGTGATTCTCAGGGCAGCGGAGGCTGCTTCCTTTTTTCTCCCGCTCCCATTTGCCTTTCCAATCTGGTAAGAATCTGCCCGAAAGCACGTGACACCAGTGACCCAAGTCACGATTTTCGAGAATCACTAACCAGGCTTCCTCTCCTCTGAGGAAGCTCCTTTGGCCCCAGTTAATGGCTTTCTGTCCTACACTTAATGCAGCAGTTTGGTTTTATTAAGAAAAATTGTTTCTAAAACAAAAGTTGTGTGTGACGTCATTGGGCTTTATGCAAATGCTGATCACCTGACGGCAGCACACACAGAACTGCCTCAGGGTCTCCCGTGAAAGCTGGTGTGTGACTCAGCCCTGCCATCTCCTCCCCAAGGCACTTCAGCCGCAGCCTCTTCCTCAGCTCCTGCCAGCCCCCTTAGGGAAGTGCAGGGCCTCCCTTAACCTTCCACCAGTGCTTGCAGCCTTCAGAGAGTCTCTAGGGGGATCGGAGTTGGGAAAGGGTGAACCCAAGCCTGCAGGAGCCCTCGCCCATCCCATAACAGACAGAGCTGTGAGAGGGTCACGTGCGAGGTGGGAGGCTGCGCAGAAGTGACTTCATTTATTCTTGCCTTGCAGTGGAACTTTGGGAGAGTATTCTGGAACACAAACGATCATCATGTAAAAATGTGATTGTTTAGAGTAGTGAGTATTAAATACTGATTCTAGAAATAAGAGACCAAGGCAAGTCCCTTAGAGTTTTACTTCCTAAATTCTGAGTTCTATTTTTTTTTTTTTAAAAGCAGGGCAGAGGGGGTAGGATCTCAACTTCCTTTTCCCATTTAGCATTGGAAAGTTGAATTCTCTGCCTAGGTTCCTGCATCTAGAATCAGGCCAAAAACAAAAGAATTGTGCCTTGGTGCAGAGAGAGCTCGAGAAAGAATATCAGTGTACAAGCTTCCCAGTAATGGCATTAGAGGGGAGCCCAGACCTGGCAGTGGTATCTATCTTTTAGTCTTTGTTTAGAACACAGACGAGTCTTGTTAATCCCCATTTAAAATAGAAACAGTAGTATATTAATAAATAAAGTATCTCTAAGATGTGATAATTTGGGAATGTTACATTTGGAAACCGGTGTTAAGATTGTGGTGCTTAGTTGCTTCTTTGATTTTAAAGAGATACTAAGTAAAAGGAAGTTGTGAGATCTTACAGTCCATCCTGTATTTAGAAATGTGCTTAAATTAAGCACTTTTGATCATTTCTAGGTAAATACCTCTTCAAGGGTTTATTCCAGCAGTAATGGAATAGGGTTTACTTATATCAGAGAAAAATCTGACAAAAGGAATAGCCGGTAAATTTTTTTATTTTTTAGAATGTCGGGAGCCTTCATGGCTACAATACCTTTCACTGTGAGGTGGTTGCCTTTCCAAGGTCCACAGCGGTGGCCTTTGTCCTCCCACCTTACCCCCTCCGTCCTCCCTGCTGGGAAAGAGAGAAATCCAGGTCCATTGGAAGCATGTGGGCTCCACAGCAGATGGGTGACCAGGTGTGTACCCGTCAGTCCAGCCAATTCATGAGTCAGGCTGGAGCCCACAGCCTTCACGACCTGACGTTGGTCGGGGACCACGGGAAGGTTCTTCAGGGATTAGGCACCCACACAGTTCTAGGTTGGCCTCCCCCCAGTGCATGCGCTCTCGAGTAGCTTAAAGCCAATATTCGCCCTCAGCAGCACAGCCATTCCTGGATGTGGACCCTTCTGAAAGGTGCCGTTATTATTGGCTGGTTTGTCTGAATCTGGGTGACACTGAATGGAGGGGTGAGTGACAGTTTTAGCAGTCAGTTTAGGTTCACTAGATTCAGTACGTCAGGGTCCCACCACATGTTGGATTGGCTCTGTGGCTTGAATCTGCCATTGGCTTTTCCCATTTCTTTGCACCCTTCTGGAAATGAGTGCATGTCTTAGCTGATGCCACAGCGGTGTGCTTTAGTATCAGGGTCTGGAGGTCATCCCTGGGTGTCTTCCTCAGCCAGTAACTTGGGCGGGAAGCCTTGGAGGTGCAGTGTCGCCCGCAAGTTGTCAGGCCATCCAGCAGGCCTGTGCCGCTTAGCCTGACAGGCGCATACGAGAGGCACCGGTGTGCATGAGGATCCTCGGGCATCCCAGCTGCGGCCTGCCCAGTGCCGTGTGGCTTGGGCCTCTGTGACCTCTTCTCAGAGGCTTGTGGAACTTGTCCTGAACTGACAGGCCAGCCCGCTGACTAGGGTTGCGTTTTGTCCCCCTGCACTTGCATTTAACTTTTTAATGGGACTTAAGAGTGTAAACCGTGTTTGTGGCCAGCTCTTTTTGGCTCCAGACCAAATTATTCAGACTTGGTCTGTATGTGGCCTGATCCCGTAAGAGCTATTTTGAAATCATACTGTACAGATGTCTCAGTCTTCTTTTGTGGCACTCAGTGACACTCAGAATCGGGCATTCGGTCACAGGCTGCTGAATGAAAGTGTTCGGCTCCCAGCCTTGAGTATTGTCACTTTCCAAGTTCCTGCCCAAGGGCTGTCCTCAGTGTAAGGACCCAGTGCTGCTGCCAACTGAGTCAAGTTTCCACACGAGGCTGCGAGACAGAAAAGGAGAACAGCGAGAGGACTCTTACAGTCATAGCACAACCAGCCGGTTGTCACATTACAGGATGTGAGGGAAAGAGCCCTGTGACACGGAGGCTGGTGGCAGCCTTCCTCGGGCATCTGTTACAAATGTAGAATCTCAGGCCCCACTCTGACCTCCTGAATCCAGAGAGGCATTGGGACCAGACGTGCAAGTGATTTCGGATGTGCGTGCGTGTGTGTGTGCACGTGTGTGCGTGAGTGACAAGCAGGTTTTTTTTTAAGTTTTTAAATTATTTTTAAAATTTTTTTAAAGATTTTTATTTATCTGACAGAGACACAGCAAAAGAGGGAACACAAGCAGGGGAAGTGGGAGAGGGAGAAGCAGGCTTCCCACTGAGCAGGGAGCCCGATGCAGGGCTCTATCCCAGGACCCTGGGACCATGACCTGAGCTGAAGGCAGATGCTTAATGACTGAGCCCCCCAGGCGCCCCTACAGGCACTGTTCTTGGGGAGATCTGTGCAGAAGGTACGAGATGCTGACGTTAGGGCAGTAGGACAGTATTCACTTGGAGGCGGCAAGGCTTAGTGCTAAGCATGTGTCCTAGCTTTGTGATCTGGAGTGAATCATTTAACTGCTCCGTGTCTCACTGTTATTAGTGCCTCACTTTTATTATTATCCATAAGCTGTGGGTTGTGATCCTTGTGAGGTTATGTTGCCTCAGAAGACTGCTGTGAGGATAAAAAGAATGAATATAAATACACTTAGAACAGTGCTTGGCACATAAGTGCTATTATAATTAGAAGTTTTATGATCACCCTCTATAGCTGCTGGGGCACTGGTTAAACAAATTTATAAACCTAGGTTTTACTTAAAAGACAATGCAGTCTAAAGACAGGACTGAGAGCCACATGATGGGCCTCCGCTCGCAGAGTCTCAGCCTGCTTTAGGCAGCGGGGGCTCCAATGGCCGTTGTTCACTGCAGGCCAGGGCTGGGTGGGCCACCAGTGTTTATGTAGCTCCTCAAGTATTTTTCCTTTTTTTTTTTTTTTTAAGATTTTATTTATTTATTTGAGAGAGAGGGAGAGAGAATCTGAAGCAGACTCCCCACTGAGCACAGAGCCTGAGATGGGGCTCAATCCCGTGATCATGCGATCACAGCCTGAGCTGAAACCAAGAGTCAGACGCTCAACCAACTGAGCCACTCAGGCACCCCTCCTCACGTATTTCTGATTCCAGCAGTGGGATTTGGAGTATTTGCACTGGGCCTTCTCACTTGTTAGGAATGGAGGGCATTTAGTGTATCAGATGGAACCAGCCATGACATTGGTATCAAGGGGTGGCTGCCTTTGAATTGCACAGTGCCTTTTACTTCTGCCTCTAAATCCCTCTGGTAATGGTCGTGGGGAGATGGTAGGACAGGTCCTCGTCAAGGTCATCCTGGCCATGTGGACGAAGTGGGGCTAAGAGTTGTGCAATAGCTGTAGATGTTTTTCCTGCCTCCCGAGGGAAGTGCGATTCCTCGGGGTATTCCCAGCCAAGGGGGTAGAGGTCTTCTTGCCGCTACGTGTCAGGCCCTTTGGCTAGTTGCTGGCTCCTCACCCACTTCCTAATCACATGGCTCTTAAAGATAAGCATCTCAAACAAACAAATAAGACAGATGGGGTTGACTGACTGGTAGTCAGTAGAGTCTGCAAATCTTGATCTCAGGGTCCTGAGTTCAAGCCCCACTTTGCCTATTTATTTATTTATTTTTTATTTTTTTTAAGATTTTATTTATTTATTTGACATAGTGAGAGAGAGCACAAGCAGGAAGAGCAGCAGAGGGAGAAGCAGGCTCCCTGCTGAGCAAGGAGCCCGATGCGGGACTCGATCCCAGGACTCTGGGATCATGACCTGAGCCGAAGGCAGACGCTTAACCGACTGAGCCACCCAGGCGTCCCCCCACTTTGCCTATTTAAAATAAGAAAAAAGAAAATGCATTAAAAAGACAAGCACCTGTCTCCCTCTGGCAGAGAGACTGTTTCTCCACCTAGCTGCATCTGGAATCATTCTGGGCATTTTAAAACAAACTGATGCCTGGATCCTACCTCCAGAGATTCTGATTTAATTGGCCTGGGGTGGGGCTTGAGCCTGGAGATGTCATAAAGCTCCCTTGTGATTCTGTTGTATAGCTGAGGTTGAGACCTACCGCTCCAGGGGTCTCATGCAGGGGGGTTCCTCCCTCTACCCACCGCCCCTCAAGTCCTCACATGCTCCAGGGCAGTGCTGTTGAGAAATAGCACTCGAGCCACACTTGTAATTTAAAATGTTCTAGTACATTAAAAAGGAAACAGGTGAAATGAATTTTAGTAATATATTTTATGTATCCAGTATATCCAAAATGTCATTTCAATAAGTAATAGAAATTGAGATTTTTACATCCTTTATTACATAGCAGGCTTGAAATCTTGTGTGTTTCACACTTAAAACACATCCCAGTTCAGGGCGCCTGGGTGGCTCAGTTGGTTAAGGGACTGCCTTCAGCTCAGGTCATGATCCTGGAGTCCTGGGATCGAGTCCCACATCGGGCTCCCTGCTCAGCAGGGAGTCTGCTTCTCCCTCTGACCCTCTTCCCTCTCGCGCTGTCTCTCATTCTCTCTTACACAAATAAATAAATAAAATCTTTAAAAAATAAAAAATAAAAAACACATCCCAGTTCAGATGAGCCTCATTTCACACGCTGCCTGTAGCCAGTGGCTACGGTCCTGGACAAACTGCAGGACGTGTTTCTCAAAGCAGAAATAGCACGAGTCCTTATGTTACACATTCCAGGTTAAGAGCTCGGGAGCACCGTGTTACGTACCAGATGCTGATGACAGGTCATTTGTATTTGTACTCATCCACCCCCATGTTGTTACTTAAGAATTCTCTTGGGCCCACGCTGCCCACTGGGCCAAGCCGGCAGGTGGGCAGGAAGAAGAGGAAAGGGAAACGCCCCCTTTATACATGTGGCCCGTATCCCTGTTACATGGAGGTCCCACGTGGTGCGCTGGGAGAACGCTGGCAGAGTGGGCCAGGCCCGGTTGCACCTGCTTGAGGCCCTGGGCCCCTCTGTCGCCCCACGGCCCTTATTGTACTGAGTCCTGCATGTAAGCATCGGCTGTGACCTGGGCAGCTAGTGACCTCTGCTGTCTTCGGCTGGCTCTCGTTGACTCCACAGGCGGGGTCACACTGATGTTTAGGCCACGTCTGTACCTCCTGCCCCTCTCGTACAGTCACATGGCCAGAGCTCGCCCAGGGTGCCCATGGTACTAGGCTTAAATCTGGAGCCCGTACAGCTCAGATCCACGGCAGAGAACTAGATTAGGTCTCCTGTACTGCAGTCTGCCTTACGGCGTAGGGAAAACCAGCTTTCCCACCCACACACATTTAGTTTGAGCAGTGTCTATTTCTGGAGGGTTCTTAGGAGCGTTGGGCAGGGTTTCTTTGGATCCCAGATACAATCTGAGAGCTTTTTGCATTACATGTGAGGAAAATAACTTTTCTTTGATGGCATGGATACCGATTGCTGGGGCACAGGGTTTTTGGTGGGGGAGCTTCCACAAGATTGAACCCATTTACATTTATCATGTTAGGTACAGATTATAAACCTTTACATAAGCAAGCCCCATGTAGTCTTCTTTACCTTGGTCCTCCACCCACGCAGGGATGGGCCTCTTAGGCTCTTAATTTTGCTTAGGTTTTTCTCTCTTGCCCTTGGCCTCCAGAAAGAAACAGGTACTGACCAGGCAAGCCCACTCAGGGAGCTAGCACTGGCCTCTGAAAGAATAATTTGGTGTGAGGGTGCGGCAAATGGCCTTGCCTCGGGGCAGGAGGATGGAGCTTTGATTCTAGTCTGTCTTACTGATTGCCAGAGGCCCAATTTATCTTAATCTTTCATGGCTCCATTTCCCTTCTGTAACACAGGATTGTTGGTACACAGCAGTGCGGAGATTGGAATTACTTTCATTTTCATGATCCACCACCCACAGAATGGCAGAGTAGCTGGTTCAAGCAGTCACGTCCCTTATCCTCAGATCAGCTTTCTTCGAACACCTGGACTCAGTGACCAAACCCAATTCTCAATGTTGTTTTTTCTTTTCTTTCAAGCCTAACTATGGGACAGCTTTACGAGAAGGAAAAAGATGAAGATGGATTCTTGTATGTGGCCTACAGTGGAGAGAATACTTTTGGCTTCTGAGGGCCAGCGCTGGGCTAGGTGCACCGTTCCCGCTTTGTGTATCTTGTAAATAGCCGGCCGTTTTCCGTTCCCAGACCTCTTCACATAGACCTAATTAGTGCGTTTGTAACTGGATTTATTTCTTAATATATTGGGAGGTTTTGTTTCCTTAGGTTAGTAAATTATCATACAGAGTTTTATTCTGAATTTTCCTTCCTGTGCACTGCCCTCATGGCTGTACTCCCCAGGGCACTTGTTCTCTGAGGATCATTATTTCATGAAGATATTTCCATATTAAAGTGAGGTAGTTGGGGTATTAAAGTGAAAGGGAGGGAGGTGATGCATTTTTTCTGGATTATGTTTGAAGTGTTAAAGATGGCTAAGTATTAAAAGCACCCAAATTAAATCCTTAGCAATCAGACACTTGCTTCACTAGATTTTGCCAACTGCCAATCATGTTGGACTGAGCTAATCTGTTCTTTCTGAAAGTATTAAGGTAAATAATTAACAATAAAACTTCCTCTTGTAAAGGCATTGCAGTGTGACCATGTCCTTTATTTACTTGCTGGCAGAAAGGTCAGAGCAGTGGCTCGGCGTCTGCTAGGCCAGCAGGAGGGTTTGTGGGGCCCCTGGCTGCACAGCCTGGGACAAGCAGCAGTGATCTGTGTCCTAAGAGGGGCTTTTGTTTTGATGGTTAATATATCCACATGGTTCAGACAAAAGATTTTAGAAAGGGAGACCTTGAGAGGTCCTCCCACTACTGTTTCCTGACTCCCTAACCTTCCGCCTTATGGGAAACTACTTTAACTAGTATCTTGTTTCTTTCCGGTATTTATTTTTGGAAGTATAATTAAATATAAATATATGTCCTTATTTCCTTCTGTTTTTTTTTCTACAAAAGAAAACATTATATATATTTATGTGTGTTGCTTTTTTTTCATTTAACAGTATATCCTGCTGACCTTTCTGTATCAGTTCATAGGGAGCCTTTTCGTTCCTTTTTACAGCTAAATGGCACTGTGTTGTGTGAATGTCATTATTACTTACCTAGTTCCTAGGCCCCTATTAATGGCATTTGGGTTATTTGCAGCCTTTCACCACTACATACAGTGTTGGGATGGTAATTGTACACACACGGCCTCTTACATGCCCCTGCACTCTTCATGGGGCTGCTCTCCAAGCCCTCTCCCTAGAAATCACAGTTAGATTTTCCCATGCCCACGAGTTTCATGATTTCTCACAAATGAGTGTAAATATGTAGGCTTGCCAGAACACAAATGCACCTAAGAGGAAAGCTTAGTTAACTTTCCCAAATTTTCCTTGGATAGCCTGTGTTGGATGCTAGAGCCCTACGTAAATAATCAGGATAAAGAAACTAGGTATCATCCCACGATCTAGGAACATGTAGTTAAAATGACTGTCTTAAACTCTCTACTGGGGAAGAAACAAAAGATCTTTAGCTCTGTCTTCCCCAAATTACAGAAGCAACCCGTCAAAGCTGTCTACTGAGGTCAGCTTCCCAGTTGGGACCAGAGGAATCATTTGTCATTAACCATTGTGTTCGTCTTTCCCAAACCTGACCCAATAGAGTCTGCGGTCTCTTTGCTGGTAGTTTTGAACTAGAAGCGGATACAAGCTGACCCCTGAGTGAGCAAGGGAAAGGGAAGGAACAAGTTCTGTGTTGAAGGGAATCTTGTTTGTGGTGACGTATACCCAACTCAAACTGGCTTAAGCTCTAAAGAGGCAATTTATTATTTGAGTTACTGTACAGGGAAAGTTCACTGGCTTCAGACAGCTCGAACCAGAGGTCAAATGATAACATCAAAACTCTTTCCTCTTGGTTTTGTTTCCCTCTGTGTTGACTTCATTCTCAGGCAGATTCCTCTCATGTGATGGCAGAGTGGTCCCATCAGCTTTAGCAAATCCAGTGGAAAAGCATTCCTTCTGAGGACAATGTTAAAAGTCCCCTGGAGGGCTCTGGCTTCACTTGAATTACCAGATAGCCCCTCACCCTTCCAGCCTGAGGCAGGGACTGGTGGGAAGGAATGGTTAAAACCCTCCTTAACAGTATAAACAGAATAGGATTATGGAGAAATGGGGAAGGGATAGCTTTCCAAAGGCATTTTGATCTGTTTCTGTTTACAACCACAAACCCACAAATGAAACTGAACAGAAATAGTAGAGGGAAGGAAAAAAAAAGCAAGGGTCACCGAAGCCCGCTGTGGTTTTTGGTTTTTTTTCCCCTTTTAATTTATAGGGGTGTCTGGCTGGCTCAGTTGGTAGAGCATGTAACTCGATCTCCTCCGGGTCGCTGAGTTTGAGCCCCATGCTGGGCATAGAGATTACTTAAAAAAATTTTCTTAATAAACTTATAGTTTTTATCAAACACTCGTTGGATGTCAGATGATTTATATATATTACTACGATTCAAAAAGACCCTCATGAGATATAGACAGTGTAATTCTCATAGCTACATCGCTACCAAGTGACGGCTGAGACACCAAACTTGAGATTTAAGAGGAAAGACAGTTGGCGGTGTGAGATCATGTTATGTTGTTTGTTTTTTCTATTTACAGTGTTTTCACACTACTGGACACTGAGGCACAAACAGGAATACAACATTACCCTGTCCTCCAGATGCTTACAGTATCATTTGCTTACCTACACATAAGCAAATAATTACAAAGTGATATTGGAAACTATCTTGGAACAGAAGAGGGAGTAGCCGTTATCTATAAAAAAAAAAAACTATTGAGGAAAGCAGCCTTATTTGTAATTCCAACAAAAATGGATTTGTCAATCTTGCCCTTAAAATGTAGCATCTGAACGAAGGATTGAAAAGTTAAAAAAAAAAAAAGCATCTAGTTTCCCCCAATTCTAGTCCTTAAAAGACAGTAGCAAGATTTTACAGATGAATTTTATCAAACTAGGTAAGGAATCCTTAACCCTTTTTACACTTTCAGAGATTAGAAAAAGGGAATAATTACAAATTCATTTTGACACTGAAAATCCCAATGCCAAAACTTCATAAGAGAAAAATGACAGATTGATCTCATTTATCAACACAGAAAAATCTTTCAAAAAATACCAGTAAATAAAATTTAGCAGTGTACTAAAACAGTCATGACCAGGGCGCCTGGGTGGCTCAGTCAGTTAAGCATCTGCCTTCGGCTCAGGTCATGATCCTGGAGTTGTGGGATAGAGCCCCGCATCAGGCTCTCCGCTCAGCGGGGAGTCTGCTGCTCTCTCTGACCCTACCCCCTCTTTTGTTTTTTCTTTTTAAACCTTTGTTTTAAAAGATTTTATTTATTGTCAGAGAGAGGAAGAGAGAGCACAAGCAGAGGGAGCAGGAGGCAGAGGGAGAAGCAGGGTCCCCGGTCCCCACTGAGCAGGGAGCCAGATGTGGGACTCGATCCCACGATCCTGGGATCATGACCTGAGCTGAAGGCGGACGCTTAACTGATTGAGCCCCCCAGGTGTCCCAGACCCTAACCTGTCTTGTGCGTTCTCTCTCACCCACTCTTTCTCAAATCAATCAATCATGACCTGGTAGAACTTAGCTCAAGAATGGGTCATATAGTCCATCATTATGTCTACTAATAAAATATACCAAATTAATAATTAAAGGAGAAAAACTATAGGATTATCTCATAGATGAAGAAAAAACACCTGAAATAAAACCCATTCATAACTTTTTGAAAACCTCTTAGCAAATTAAGAAGGGCACTTCTTTGACTTGATAAAGAGAATTCATAAAAAATCTAGAGCAAATATTATTTAAAGCTCTGATAAATAAGGCAGTGTGGTGCTGATATTGGGATAGACAAATACACTAATGGAACAGAACCCAGAAGCAGATCTGTATATAAAACATATGTCATAGGTGGCATGACAAATCAGTAGGAAAATGGACCAGTCAACAAATATAAATGGTACTGTGAAGTCTGAAGGGTGAACTTTGTGGTATGTGAACTCTATCTTAGTATCCTCAATTAAAGCTGTTAAAAAAAGTTTATCACTGCTTCTACTCAACGGTGTCCTGGCATAAAGCCAATACAGTAAGAGAGGGAAAGTAAATGAAAGGCATAAAAATGAGACAGGAAGACTAAATTGTTCTTATATATAGACAGTGATAGTCTACACAGAAAAATCCAAGAGAATCTGTAAAACTTAGAACATAAATAAAGTTCAGCACGGTTGCTGGATACCAGAGGAGTTACAAATATGGATGTTGTTTCTACATACCAGCTGTAACCAATTAGGGAATATAATAGGAAAAAAGATCTCAATAGGAGCAAAAATCTGTAAGCGCATAGGAATGAATTTAAATATGATATGCAAGACCTTCATGGAGAAAATGAACCATTATTGAAGGACATGAAAGAAGCCCTAAATAAAAGGAGAGATACACTAATATACCATATTCGAGGATGAGAACACCCAATATTGAAAAGCTGCATATTGCCCCAGATTAATTCTAATAAAAATCCCAACCAGTTTTTTTTATTTTGTTTTGTTTTGTGGAATCCAACAACTGATGCTACATCCAGCTAGAAGAGCAAAAGGCCAAGAATAACCAAGAAGTGCTAAGAAAAACAAGCTGGGGAGACATATCTTAGCAGTAGTTAAATAATTAAGACTGCACCATATGGCATAGAGATAGACAAATAAACTAGGAAACACAACAGAAACCCAGAAACAGACCAATGTTTAAAATACAACAGTGAGGGCGCCTGGGTGGCTCAGTTGGTTAAGCGACTGCCTTCGGCTCAGGTCATGATCCTGGAGTCCCGGGATCGAGTCCC